TTAAACATCAATGTTGAATTAAATTACTTGTATATAAAACATTCTTAGCTGCTTTTCTTTAAGTTACAGAAAGATACATATAAGCTGCAAGATATAGGCCTCTAGAAAGATTCGATTTGATCTCGTTTTCTCACATATTCCAATCAAATGGCCTCACTACTAGCAGCTTCTATTATCCTTGCCCAAAGTATTCAGTGTTTATAAAATACCAGCCAATCATCACTCAGAACCTTCTACAAGCAAACAAAAAACCCCCACAGACCTGGTCTAGAATGCATAGACGGAAAAATAACACACCCATCATTTCCCATTTCTTCTCCTGAGACGTATGTTCAAAAGATGGCAAAATAGTCACTTGGTTGCTATTGTGAAATTCACAGTGTTTTCCCTGCAACATGTAGACTTTTTTTTTTTTTTTTTTTGCTTCATACTTGTGATGAATGTAGCACATCCCCCCACCCCACCCAAATAAAGGTGTTTTAACTAAGGCTCTAAAGGACCTCTTGATTCAAAGCAGCAGTGGTTCATCCCAGCCCTCACAACAAGAAAATACAACTTCCTGTGCTATTAAAACCTTCATCTTTGATTAGAAACCCCAATCGGTTCCCCAGCCCCTCCCCGCTCCCCTCCCTCACATTTTAAAGGATCCCTTGGTTGCTTTTGTGAAATTCCCAGTGTTTTCCCTGCAACATGTAGACTTTTTTTTTTTTTTTTTTTTTGCTTCATACTTGTGATGAATGTAGCACATCCCCCCACCCCACCCAAATAAAGGTGTTTTAACTAAGGCTCTAAAGGACCTCTTGATTCAAAGCAGCAGTGGTTCATCCCAGCCCTCACAACAAGAAAATACAACTTCCTGTGCTATTAAAACCTTCATCTTTGATTAGAAACCCCAATCGGTTCCCCAGCCCCTCCCCGCTCCCCTCCCTCACATTTTAAAGGAGTATTTGAAATTCAGTTACAGGCTGCAACAACCCAGACACAGACTTGTTCCAACACATATGCATTGTACCTTAGTCATCCAGTGACCTAATCATTTTATTGGGTTATTTAATTCCTTTTAAAAGTGTTTTGCAAAAGTCTACATCAACCGCAACAAAAACAACTTCTCAGAAAGGCGGGGAGGGGTACAGAGAGAGAGAGAGAAAGAGAGAAAGGAAAAGAAGGAGAAAAGCAAAGAAAGCAAAAGAGAAAGAAGGAAAGAAAGCAATAAATAAATAGCAAGAAAGGACAAAAAAGAAAGAAAAAGAGCAAAAATGGGGAGTTACCTATTAGAGTGTAGACAACATATATCGTTTTACAAATCAAAATGAATGAAGTCCTTTTAAAAAGGGGTACACTCCATCATGCATCATGGGGTGCTGTTGCTTTACAAGTATCTGTTGTCCATGGCCAGTTCTGAGTTCTGCAGACCTATTGAGAGTGAAGGACAGAGTGTGGTGAATGCTGCTATTATTACTGCTGAATTTTGGTGTTCTCATTGTCCCACAAGTTGTGTTGCACTCTGAATAGTCCAGCTCATGCTTGGAATTATTTCGTTACTGCAGATGAGTATAAAATGCTAATGGAGCTGCACTGTTATTCTAGGACAATAAAACAACAATAGCACAAACCCAGAAATGACAGCAAAACAAACTCTGTTTTCTGAGCTTGGAAGCTTGTCTGTCCATTTCATTGTGAGAAATCAACAAGTGAGATGGGAATGGAAGAAATGTTTTTATGCAAACATCTGGGGAAGAAAAGTGCTTGTTGTTACATCTCTGGCATTCTAGCACTGCCTCTGCTGCACACCAGTTAAAAAGTTGAACTTACAAACATAGAAAAAGAAATATCAAAAGAAAAAAAAATATTTTGGTTACTCAGCAGACTTTATCAATTTATTAGTAGCACTCTAATCATCATTTGTAGTAACGTAGGTGTATGTAAATTTATACATATACACACAGCCCATACATAATGTGCATGCATGTCTGCACATATATAAATAAAATACAACAGACATAGGCATACATGTATATGCTATGTGTGTGTATATATATATGCCATATGCAAACACATATATAATATATATTATATATATGATCAGTTCATAGCACACTCCAGAAAGACTTTTAAAATGAGCCTGATTGTCATATTTACTCAGTGTACACAATTTAGCTGACAGTGCAAGCATGATGAATATGCACATATACTCACCCTTCATTGTGATTTGAACATATTTCTTCCTCTTCTCTGCTCATTCTGCTACACTCACCCACCTTTTCATGAACAAACACAAACTATGTATAGCTACAGCTTATAGCTTGTCTACTGTGATTATACATTTTTATGCACTATCAAGAACATTAATGATATAGGTCAAGGTTATCCATACTGGTGGCTCTGTAGAACGTTTGGTCCTTTAGAAGTTTGACATACTGCTATGTTATTGCACAATGCATTGTAACACTATTTATTCTCTGAAATGACTCTAATAGTCTCACTAGTAAATCAAAAAGAAGATGCCACTAAGCACATTTTCAGGGTTTTGTGGTTATTTTTGGTATACATTCTTTCAGTGCTTGCAAAACCCACCTGTTTGCTTTCAGGCTGGAGCCTGCTTTCCAATAGAAGCAGCATCTCAGATGCCTTTTTCTTCAGCTCATAAGAAACTAAGACAGAATAGGTAGAAACTTAGCACCCCCCCTCACCACCTGCAGCCCACTGCACAGTAAGAGTGGACTCTGACACCTTTCTTTTCCACCACTGTAGTTTTGAAAATCAATTTCAAATTCCTTTAAAACACAACATTCAGATTCTCAAGAGAATGGGTTTCATTGGATGCTCAGTCTTTATCTAGCCTTCTGTGTGAACTTCCAAGACAGTCTAGATAAAATCTTAAGGCCCATTTTGTAGGAATCTTCCTCTGGCTTTTTGTGTGTTTCCAGTTCAGTAGCGGTTAAGAAATAACTTCTAGTTTATTAAAGAAATACTGAGTATGGCTTTATAGTTACACTGACATGTTTATTTGTAATGCTGCCTTTTCAATGACATTGAGAAGGGTAAAACTTCATCAGTGTCCAGTGAACTGTTTTCTTTTGAAAATGTTCAGAATCTTTATGAGCTAGCTCTAAAAGCTTCTGAAGGAAAAACCTAAAGTGCCTCAATAAATAATATACGCAAGCAAATTATATATTAAATGTGCTATGGGAACACTTACAAAAATAAAATGCTTAATTTATTAAATAAAATATCCCCAACACAAAGATGAAGGTCTATTTCGATCTGGCTCATATCAATAAGAAATAACAAAAAGAGAAAACGGAAAGAAAGATCACTTTTTTGCAGTAACGCCCCCTCACAGAGGGAGGCAAAAGTCTTGAGGAACAGGTAAGGTAGGTTTTCATTTGTAAGAATTCATATTAAAAATAATCCTAACTCTAAATTTGAAATCGTCAACTTTCGATTTGAAAAATAACACATACGCCCATGCAGCTGTCATCAACACAGTGGCCATGCAAATGTGGTACACATACAATACCAATCCAACCAAAAATAAATTATTTAAGAAAGAGTGGATGTTGGTAATGACAGCACAAGTACCAATACAAACATGGTGCTGAGCTCAGGGTCTTTGCACTCTGAATAGTAAGCCATAACCTCAGAGTTATTTGTTTTCTCTAGAGATCTCTATCCCCTGCCATGATTCAAACATAGCCAGTGATCTCCGTGCTTTAGATTATTCATGTTATATCAGCTTATTGTATCTGTAACATTGTGAAGGCATTGTAAGATGGCTAATGTCCTCCATTAGCCACTTCTAATGAAAAACAAGTTATATCGTTATGAGTTCACTATGCTACTAGGGTATACTACAAGATGAGTGATAGTTTCTGCACAAAGGGCATTAATTGACAATGACCATGCACAGCTTCGCTTGCACGGTTAAAAAAAAAGAAAAAGGATTGAGGAAGGAAGGAATATGCTGCTGGACAAGCACAGTATAAGATACACCTGCCCCAGCATCTATAGCTTGTCTTACCTTATCAAAATCCTTAGTTTCAACATGTGATCCTGAAATTAATACTGTACATTAATAAGCCTAGCTTCAGCCTTTATTAAAAAAGACTAGCTGGAGAACATATTTATACCAGTGGCATGACAACATCCTACCAGAAGACAGAATAAGGGCGTGTATTTAGTTTATCATGTTGTAATATAATTGTGTGCAGTGCAGGCAGCATCTTTTTCCCTTTTACTTGTATCTGGCAATGAAAGGTGCTGGCAAAGCACCTCCTTGAACAATCCCTTTAGTCCTCAGAAAGACTCTTCAGAGAAAGTGCTAAACACCCTCTTGCCTTCCATCAAATAATTTCAGTGTTTTTTTTTGTGGCGTTGCATGCCATCTGATCCCCTAGCTCCTCCAGATAGTGTATCACACAAGGCTGTCTTCTTTCCATCTGGCTTTATCTCCGCAAGGAACATGCTTCATGTAGAGAACACCAGTCTTCTTTTTCCACCCACATGCTGAAGCAAAAAATTGTAGGTGAATCCATAGAAACTCCCAGTAGCTGTACAGCAGAAATCACAAAGTTCGAGTCAAATATATTTTTCCCTTTTTTTCATCCACATCAAAGGCATGAATACAACAAGGCATTGTTAGTTGTGGTGGGCAAACTGAAGTCTGCTGATATAACAGATCAGGTTTTTAAGGCCTTTGTCTATGCAGAGTTACAATAATGCAGAAGCCAAATTGATTAGAAAGACAGGAGAGAAGGAAAAAAATGATAGAAACTGAGAGAGAGAGAGAGAGAGAGAGAGAGAGAGGAGAGACGTCTCAGTAATGTCTAAAAAGTCAATAATGTGTCTACAGATGGAGAAGTGCACATTGCTTGCCCTTTGAAAGCTTCTCCGCAACTTTGTCATTAATACTGTCAAAGTTAAGAACACATTTTAATGGAGTTCAGCGGCAGTTGATCACATTCTTTCCTGCAGCCCGTAAGGAGAAATGCTAGGAGACTTTAGCCTAAAATATCCAAGTAGACTGGAGATGCCTTGGCCAAGTTCTGGAGGAGGGAATGGATTTCTTTGATGTTGAGCCTCATGTGAGGCTCCCGTTGCCAACAGCCCAGCATCAAGTCATACACTTCCTTGGGGCATGTGCGAGGTCGCTGCAGGACTCGGCCCTGAGTGATGCACTCAATCACCTAAAAGAAATCACAAGGAAAGGATCAGCAAAGCTGTGCCAGCTATGTGGGTGTTATCTGTGGAAGAGTTAACTGCAAATCGCCAAAATAGCCCCACTGGTGGCAGTCACCCAGCCAATCCTGCCAAGGGCCACGTTTGCTAGGTAGATGCATGAGCAGCGGGATGTGATCTGGAAAAATCACTGTCATGTAAGTTGTCAAGGAACAATAACTTCACCCACGTTGCCCCTTCCACTCATGAGAGAAGGGAATGATAGGCAGGAACTAATCCCATACCTCCTCTCTCTACACATCTATCAACCTCACCTCATCTCAGAAGGAGGCTAAGGTTTCACCCTCCTCACGCAGAGCATCAGTGACTCTCCTTCCCTTCTTAAATTTATGAGTACCACTGTGGCTAATCTCTGGACAGGGGTTACTTGTGACTGCCTGGAAATCAAGAGATCTCCAGATTACTTCAATCTATTCAAGAATGGTTTCAGATAGCCACTCTGCCACATGTATGATATGGAACTGAAATCACCCAAAGCCCATTCAGGAGATAGCTAAGCTCCTTTTCATTGACTCATGATCTTTCTCAATAGCCAGAGCAGACTCTATCCTGTGCAAGGTAAAAAGCTAAATTCCAGCTGGTATAGTTCTGCTTGGACAACTTCCACCCACCCTGGGGACAAAAGGGTGAAAAGGAAGAAATTCAACCACAAAGTTCATGACAATACCATAAATATCTGATATCAGGGGTTTTGCCTTCACCAAATAAATTTTTTGCTGTCCCTTCTCCAGAGAAGCTATACCAACAGTTAACATGCAAGCCTTCCCAATGCAGCTGGAGAATGTATTACACACACCTCGTTGTTTGAGAGCTGATACCATGGCTGTTTGCCATAGGTAAAGATTTCCCATAATACAACCCCCAGGCTCCAGACATCACTCTCTGTGGTGAACTTCCTGTACATGATACTCTCTGGAGGCATCCAACGAATGGGCAGCATGGTGTGACCCCCAACCTGAGAAAAACAAATGGAAGAGTCAGAAGCAATTCCTCCAGACCCTCACAAGGAAGAAGAGTATCAAGGCATTAAATAAGGAGAATCCACAGTTTCTTTTTTTTCCCATATTATACCATTTACTTCAGGGAGCTTTTAAGAACTAGGAATTCATGGTCCAAACTCCTCTGGCCCCAACAACAATCACTGCCATGATAGGTTTCTCAGCAGAATCTCAAAGGTATTGTTTCTGAAGTTCAAACTCATCTTTAACATTTCCTTGGCACACCCTACCCAAGAAGGAGGAAGCTCTATAAAATTATTCATTAACTTAGCCTACCAATCCACTTTAAATTAGGCCAGGTTTACTCTCCATTTTAGCACTCAGGAAACTAAAAAATATTAATTAAATGAGATCTGCACTGATGATTCTCCTAGAAACTCAGCCATATCAACTGAAATCCATGAAGACACAGTGGTCTGACTGCATGACACGGTAGGATCAGGATCTGTATGGTTTAAGATCCTAATTTTGAGTGCATTAAAGTAATGTTATTTTCTATCAATAATTTCCATAGTTAATGCATAAAATTATTTTGTTCCACATTAACCACCCAGTCCTACACAGCTTTAAAAAAATTTCCAGTCCTTTGGATATATTCCTTTGAAAATAAGCAGCTTGTAAGACATGGACTCCTATCCCAAATCAACTCATGCTGAATGCGATCTTTCACTGAATTAATGCCTTTCTGAAAGTCTCTTAGAACATTCTGCATTTTCCCTGGAATGCTATACGTCCTTAAAATAAGGTTTCCTAAGCTTAATTTAAATTTTTAAAAAAATCTCTTATTTCCAGTTTCTAAACAATTTATAGTTCCTGATATGTGTCACTCTGGGTCACATCAATAAGGAAATCTACTCAAGTACTTTTAAAATAGTGTAACTGCTGAGATTCTGTGATATAGATATACAGATATTCTGATTACTTTTGCATCAAGACAGCTGCGAATATTTCCAAGGAAGTTAAAAAAACAAAAAAAAAAAGCAAAGCTTTTTCAAGGACATCTAACTTTCGATGAACTCTCATTTTCCTGTCTGAAAATGTATGTAGCTATGAAACCACATTTGCACTTTCAAGATCCTGTCAATTCAGAAGTGTCATTTCTCCTTGTGGGACTTTAAATTTGTTGTTATAAATAATGCCCTCCTTGTTCTCATGTTGAAACAGCAAATGGAAAGAAAACCCAACAGAAGTTCAGTCAGGGTTCACATTATTTCTAAATCATACACGACATCCATTTCCAGCTATTTGTCAGTAATTCAGTGTTAGCATAGCATACCAAAACCACAGCTATGGCTGTGAGAGCTCAACCCTGTTCCATGCATCACCATAAGTCAATGCTCGCTATTGACTCCATAAAAACAGAAAGTCATGCTAAAACTTTCATAGATTTGGTCTATCACTAGGCTCTTCTCTGCTCCCCCTATGTGAAATGCGAGCAATGGAGGAGTACTTTTTGTCAGGATTCCAAATGAAAGGCAGGGCTCCTGATTTCAGTTCCTGGCCTCATTGTAGATTTGCTTCTGACTCAATGCAGGTTGCTGTGCACAGGTTTCAGAGCCATTCAAAAGGAGACCCAATTTCCGAGGCTCTCTGCCTAACTTAAGAATGTTCATGTGAGCACTCCATTGACAGAGGATGGATACACATTTTTAAGCACTTTGCTCAATTTGGCCCATTTGTCTCTGTGTTACAGTTTACTGCTCTGGTGGGCAGATGGGCTATAAGGCTCTGTGCTTCAGTGTTTTTAATCATCTCTGACTGAGAAGTCACCGAGTGATGTGGAGAGTTTGAAGTAACACACAAACACACTGAGATGCAAACAAAGCTTCAGTTTCCCACCTTATCATAACCTAAACTGACATGGCAACAAAACAGCTCCAAACCACCTCTTGAGAGGTATTTCATTAGAAAGTCAGAAAAGTTAGTCCCTTAGAAACATGCAGCCACATACACACAGACAAAGGGCAAGTGGCATTAAAAGGTGGTTAGTGATAAGCAGCTTTTGGTAACATCAAATATTAAAATGGCTCTTAGACCTGCCCACCATATAGCCTCTGCTACTGGTTCTTTTCTGCAATTTCTTTGCCTCATTCCTTAAAAAAGTAATGAAAGCTATAAACAATAAAATATGTTTCTATTTTTTCTCAACTGTCACCTCTTACATCAAGAGATTTTGAAAAAAACAACTACAAAACTCCACTCTCCAAATCTTCTTTTCCCATGGTTCCTTGCTACCACAGTGTATTTGTTGTAGGACTCCATGCTGAGTTTCCAATGTCATTCAGTAAAATGAATGACACACCTCGAGTGATGATGATAAATTGCCACCAAATGATGGCTCTGCGATGAACTGATCTGTAACATCACAGACCTAGCTGTCTCTCTCTGCAGTCATAGCTAGCCTGACTCATCAGTATTGACACCAAGGGTTTGATTTACAGATAAGCATGAGCCACAGAGCTCTTTGATGTTCCCACATCATCTTGCCTGGAGCTGTGTCCATTTCTGTCGCTGAAGGCAAAAGACTTCACTGGGCAGAGTACTTGTCCAGGACTGAGAAGTCCTGAGGTCTCACCATCTCTATCATTGCCAGTATCAACCATTTTAGGCAAGTTACTTCCAACACCTTAGCATCTTTGCAAAGACAGTATTTCATGACTTGCAAAGTATCAATAAAAGTATTATAAGGGGTGCTCTTCTTGCCAGACAGCATTTCAATGAAGACAGAATATCTGTGCAGCACTGAGCATCACCTGTGGCAGGCTGAGCATCGACCCATGGTCCAACAGCACCTTCAGTTTCAACTCAGATTTCAGTTCAGCCACATCAAAAGCACAGGTCAGAGCCTGACCAAAGGCACTTTTTCTAAATGCACAATTCCTTCTCTATTAATGATCGGTGGTTACTGAGTCAACATGCACTCAGCTCATAAAAGCATTAAGGATGGTATGTAAGCATAGGTATATGCTTAAAATGAAGCACACGTTTCAGAGCTTTCTTGAACTGAAGCCTGGGACTGGACACCACTGTTCGCAGGATGCCTGAAACAAATTGCCAGATGGTTGTGAGCTTCTTTTGATTTTTGTTGGATAGTTGAGTCCAAGCACCCACCGTTGTGCCATTACAGCAGCGAAGAGAGGTGGAGTGCCTTTTTGCTGTTGTTGCCAAACTCTCAGCAAGGCTGAGGGGCATTTTCCAAGAAGGACCAATGAAGGAAAATATGACTACACTGACAAGACTTTAAAGGTGCCAAGTGCTGCAAAGGGGTGGCTTCTGCGTATGCTTTAATAAGAAACAAAAGTATTACACAGGTCTCAGGTATCATCAGCATTCTGCAGGATAAAGCCCCTGCTATGCACTCTGTAATTGCAGTGGTGCTTGATACACATAATTTTAAAATGGTTGTGAGCTAAGCAGACTACAGTTGCAGGTAAATAACACCTTTATATTCAGTCTAGCTAAGGTTATGATAGGTTTAAAAGCATTACAGTTTTAACTTAATATGCTATCACCTTAAAATCTATAGTGTAGCTGTAAAAATGCTGAAAAAATGACCGTTCTGTGGATACAAATTAGGGTATACTTTCTTGATGCTTACCTGAAAGCAGCTGTATTATGATCGTTCATTATTATTTGGAACTGCACTTCTACAGATCCTTTCTGGGACTTAAGTACTTGCTTCCAAATGTCAGTTTATGAAAGCAAGCACTCTCTAGTCCGGCTGTAGCCTTGTATTACGTTCACCAGTTGCTTTTACTAGCAATATTGGGCTAGAATCTAAACCAGAACGCTTGGTGAATTAGCTTCTGCAATGTGCAAACTATCCACAGGGAGGAGACTGCTATGCCAGATCAGTGAACTATGATGTTGTCCAAAGGAGCACTTCCAAGGGGAAACTGCCACGCTGTTCCATGTATGAAATGTTGCACTTCGAACAATACAATGTCATTCCACTTGTCATCACTTTCAGCACTCATCTTTTAAATGAATTTAGAACTTTGCAAAGTGCCAGATAAGCCAACCTTGAACATTGTTTTCATCTATTTGCAAACGTCAAGCTTCAAGGATTGCTGTAGAAGCACCATGTCTTAGCCTTGAAGCAGGGTATCTAATTTTAGAGTTTGCTAAAGTTCATTCCCTTTCTGGCTCATATGTCCCATATCCTGCTTCACAGGCAGTCAGACAGAGGCTTGTCTAATGTGGAAATTTTGGGTTTAAGGAGGAAACCAGGCCCACAATACAGAACTCTGTGGAAGTTGATTTTTGTTGCCCAAGGGTCTGCACATGTTTGTCCATCCGACCATCCATCCATCCATCCATCCAATGTAAACCCAGCTTTCTTGCAAATGAATATTACTGCTACATAGAAGAGCCCTCAGCTGATTGTCATCAAACTAAAGACAGGCAATCACTGCAATTTTCCCATGCCAATTAAAAATGCATCTGTTGATACCCTGCCCTGGTCACTGTTTCAACTTCTACTGCCCAACTGCCATGGGAACCCAAAGCCCTGTTGGCCAATGTTAGTGAGGAAATGGGTATGCTCTTACAAAGAATGAACAAACGAAGCCTTGTGCTCCTGCTGGGAACAGGAGGCTGTGGGTGGAGCTGGGGGAACCTACAGAGATAGGGAAGAAACAGGCTGTATGTGGGGCTGCACAGATAAGACGAAAGCTAGGGGCTGGGAAAGGCACAAGAACTAATGTTGCTAAGATGACCACTCAATCAATTCACACCAGCTTTATGCCTTACTCATTTGCACCATGAAGAGGGAGGGCTGAATGGATTGGCCATCTTTTTGCAATGCATGCCAGCTGCAACCCGGTCTCACCATAGTAGCACTGGGGGCTGTGGTGCTGAGGAGACGACAGAGGGCTTTGGGGCTGACCAAAGGACAGGACAGGGACCAGCCAGAACAGGGAGCAATGTCTCTTCCTGCTAAATGTTGGTGGCCATA